CACTTTTTTTTAGCTCAGCGTATTTGAAAAGTTAGCTATTATGGTTTAACTCTATCTAACAACAAAGCAAACAATTCAGCACACAAAATAAGCAACTGCTCTGATTTCGGCTGCAGCTATTTTCTTTTTAGCTAAGTGAGCAGCGATAGAATATTTTTTTTTTTTTTTTGGTCTTTGGAATAATTAAAAAATTTTTTTAAAGAATTTTTAGCAGGCATTTGTTGTATTTTCGGAGCTATTGTTATTTTGGCGTTAGCATTTTAATCCCCGATGATTTTTATTATTTTGCTAGATATTTCAGACATTTTGTTCACTTCAAACAAGTCGTGCCGATAAATTAATTTAAGAATTTAGGCTTTAAATTCTGGTCAAGGTGAGGAGCCTTCCAACATTTCTGCAAGAATCTGCAACTAACCAAATATTGTCTGCACGATATGACACTCATAACGATTTCTCCTTTATTTCCTCGTGTCAACCCAATCTCATAACGTTTTCGCTTTACGTTTTCGTTTACATTAAAAGCAAACATTTAAGAATGTGAATCTGGCCACAGCAGAGAACAAAAGCTACCTTTGCCATGGTCCGTCATCAGTATGTAAATTATCTCAACTCAATTAAAATTACACGCATCTACTTTGTACACTTTTTGAAGAAACTTAATGGAAGAATTCTTACATTAATATACACGAACACACACGCACACATACGAACACACAGCAAACGTGTGAGAGATACTTGTTGTGTACATCACATCAAGTTTGGAGTACCGAAAAAGAAAATGATGTATTCACAGCAAGTACGAGCAAGATGCACGATGGTTGGGCATGCATTTAAAACGCAATTTGCAATTTTTGCAATGACAAGACCAAACCATGAACACATGAATCCGTAGTGCCACAGAGTGTGTCACTTTGCAACGAGATCTACCGCACGACATGTGGTCGATGTGGGTGTTGAGGTGGAGCGAGGCGAGGCGGCCCTTTATACGCAGAATATTATATGAAGAATGTATTGTCATCTCTGTTAATATAATTTCACTAAACGAGCATTTTATTCATCATCAACAGCTTTCACATCCACTTAGTTTGTCCTTCTGCTTTCATTTGGTTTTTGAACTACAGGCTGAAAGAAAAAGTGCTTTAATTTTGTTGGTTTTGCAGAGAATGGTTTCAACTTCCAAGGAAGACTGGTTCAGTGGTTTAAATACAGAAATATATATCCCAAATCGGTCCAATCCTTTTGTGAGGAAAGTACCAGAAGCAGTGAATCGATATCGCGCATCTCCGAACTTGATATAAGTTTGATAATAATATTACGATGTCCCAAGTTTGGACCTATTCAGGTACTGGATTGGATCCAAAGATACGTAGGGTCTAAGACACGTTTTTTAAATGATATATACCCTCTTTAGCCATATGGCTGAGGGTATAAAAATATTAAGGATATGAGGCACATGACTTGCCGTTTCTTCCTATTTCGACTTCAATTGTTCAAACAGACCTGAGGCCTCAAATCTTTATTTCGATGAGGCACGTTTTGGCGGTGCCGAATGATATACAGAATGAGATGAAAAAACTGCAACCGACTACAGACTGCAGTCATTTCTCAGCCACTCGTCCGACATATGTTAAAATTAGGTACGCAAACATTTTGGCAGCGTACTAAATCACCTCTATATCTTAACAACTGAAGCATCTGAGACCTCAATATTAAATTTGAGGATTCCAGCCCTATACGAAATTTGGTACTCTTCGTACAATTGTAGAACACATATCCTAGACCACCCCCATATCTTAATCACAGACATCAGCTCTATTTTTTTCCAATACCGAATTTCCAAAACTGCCTACATATCCCAATTCCAGATACCAACACAGACATCAATACCAAATTTGAGGAATCTATATCTATGAAAGAGGAAAATGTTTGTATGTTTGTTTGTAATTTATGGACTCGAAAACCGCTGAACAGATTTTCCTGAAAATTTGCATGTGTACTGCAACATCGTCTGAAAGTAACATATACATTTTGGAAATTCCACTTGGAAGTGGAGATATAACATCAGAATCGGAGGTACCTCCCAAAAATTTAGATTTTGTACGCACATATCTATTGATTGATTACAGATACAGTCTCCAAATTTGGAATGGGTAACGGAATTTGGAACAAAAATAAATTTGCCAAATTATATTTAAATCGGTTCAGATTTGGATATAGCTCCCATATCTATATCTATAAAAGAGGAAAATGTTTGTATGTTTGTTTGTTTGTAATTTATGGACTCAAAAACCGCTGAACACATTTTCCTGAAAATTTGCATGTATACTGCAACATCGCCTGAAAGTAACATAGGCTATATATATTTTTGAAATTCCACTTGGAAGTGGAGATATAGCATTTGATGCACCAAACACGCTATGTATCCCAAATTTCTATGAAATTTAAAACGTGTGATGGATTTTATCTAAAAAATTGATTTCCCAAATTATATTGAAATCGGTGCAGATTTGGATATAGATCACATATATATTTTTGGCCGATTTCGTTCATTTGATGCCTCAAACACGATATGAATGTTCGATTCCAATGAAATTCGGAATGTTTAACGGGATTTGATCCGAAGATAAATTTATCAAATTATATTGAAATCGGTTCAGATTTGGATATAGCTCCCATATACATTTTCGGCCGATTTCATGTATTTGGTGCACCAAACACGATATGTATGCCCAATTATAATGAAATTTAAAATAAGTAACGAAATTGGGAGCAAAAATGAATTTGTCAAATTATGTTGAAATCGGTTCAGATTTGGATATAGCTCCCATAGATATTTTCGACCGATTTCATGTATTTGATGCACGCATGTATCTCCAATTTCAATGAAATTTGGAATGTGTAGGGGAAATTAAAACGAATATACATTTGTCAAATTATATTGGGATCAGATTTGGTTCAGATTTGGATATAGGTCCCATATATATCTTCAACCAATTTCGTTTATTTGATGCACCAAACACGATATGTATGTTCGATTCCAATGAGATTTGGTATGTGTGACGGGATTTTGATTAGAAAATAAATTAGTCAATTTATATTAAAATCGGTTCAGATTTGGATATAGCTCCCATATATATATTTTCCGCCGATTTCACATATTTGATGCACAAAACACGATACGTAGTTCCGATTCCAATGAAATTCGCCATAACTGACTAAATTTGGTACAAAAATAAATTTGACAAATTATATTCAAATTCGCTCAGATTTAAGGTTTGATATAGCTCCCATATATATATTCTCGGCCGATTTCACATATTTGACGCACCAATTTCAATGAAATATGAAAGTTGTGGCAGAATTTGGTGTAAAAGTAAATTTATTAAAATTATGTTTAAATCGGATCAGATTGGGATATGATTTTAATAAGAACCATTGACCCACAATGCCTTAGGCTTACACTAAAAAACAACACAACAATTGATTTGAAATACGCTTATTACGTGGAAGTATGTTGCTACCTCGAATTCACTAATTGCAACAGAAATGCCACTCAACTTCAAAAAATTGCAGTTTCAATTGCACGCTTGGTATTTGCTATGAAATAAATAAATCCAAAGGACAAACCCTTCGTGTATGTCATGTTACTGCTTTTCTAATGGTTTTGTTTATTAACGCAGTAAAGTTACGCAATATTTTTTTTAATTTTTTAAATTTGTTTTTTTTTTTATCCAACATTTATTCGTAAATAAAATTTTGAATGCATATAAAATCAAAAGGGGTAGCGAAGCTCACCGGGTTCAGCTAATTAATTCATAAAATACCAGATTTATTACCATTTAGTACTTTTCGTATAAATATATGTAGGACGCATTTCCAAAACCACTTCCATATAATAACCACCGACAATATTAGAGACCTCAATGTCAGATTTCAAGATTTCAGCTTATACAATTATAGTGCACATTTTTACCTACATATTTTAACCGCAGATTAAATTTAGTCTATTAAGTACTCTTCGTTTGGTAAACACTCCCAATACCACCTCCATATTTCAACCACAGTCGCCAAAAGTGACATCTATATCTGGATTTCAGTTCTACCTTAGGGAATTATTTTTTTAAATGGGGTGTATATGAAAACGTAGACAATGTTCTGGCACAGGAGGTAGAATCCATACGCTTTACACAATATAAAATTTTCAAATATGGAAAATTTGGATACACTTATTGGAAATCGTTAAATAATGTTTGGGAAAGCTGGCTCTATGTCTAGTTTGACCATTATGGGCATGTTTAATACACGATTTAAACATTGATTATCCCTTATTCCCATACGTAATATAAAAGTTTAAAAAATCCGTCATTTGCAACATTTCAAGAAAACGATTGTTTCCCACACACAACATACCACCCTTTAATACAAAAAATATTTTCCAAATTTACTAGTCCACATCAGTGGAGTGACATGTTAAATTTTCTATACACAAAAGTGACGACAACTATCTTTCTTGTCTGCCATCTTCTCCAGCGACAATGATGGCAATCGTTAACTTAACTTTCAGGAAGATACTGCAGATGTCGACATTTTGATTTTATGTCTGCTGTGCTCGACCAAGTGTTGTCCTTTTCATGAAAAAAAATGAAAAATATTCATAATGAATCTAATGAAATGGGAACGGTTGGAAAACGACACATGAATAATAAAAGATTTGAAAGGATGGAGAAAAAAACTCAACCAAATCGTCGACAAGGGCGAGAATGAAGAGAATGATGCTCCTGTTACCCACTTCCATCCAATGCGCCAAAAGCCCATTAGTTTAAACATTTGTTGGTGACAGATTTTACACATGGACATATTGTAAAAACTTAGTTTTTTTATGAAAAAAAAAATAAATATTATTTAGAATAGATGCCTATGGAAATTTTGAAATATGAAAATTAAATATTTTCTGTTTTGTCAATTATTAAAAAAAATTAAAATAATTTTTCAAAACGAAACAAAGTCTTTCTATTGCCACTAAAAATCATCTAACTGAAATCTTTCGTTGTTTGATAACAAGGCCATTCGTATTTCTAACTGAAGATGTAAGGAAATAGTAAGAAAATTCGCAAGGAAATCTATCACTTTTTGAAGGATCAAGCATTTTGTTGTCGTTTTTGTATGCAGTCTTCCCTCAAACCAACAAGGGCCCGATTTACATAACAACCACATTTCCAAGGTGAGAATATCAATTATCGTTTCTTTTCTTTTTTTTTTCTTTCCCAAGAATGGTATGTAGAGGAATTCGTTATCATTATTTGGTATTTGTATATTAATCGAGTTATAAACAGCGGTAATATCCGTAAAGTCAAATCGACTTCGTGTAATGTAGACTTAGCTTGCTTTAGGAGTGTGAATCTTGTTGTTGTGCATTCGTAGGGCCTATGTCTGGATTGCGCTACGAAAGGGAATTGCGAAGAAACATATTTTTTCATCGATTATTAAAATTCTAAATGTTGACTTTGGGTTAAAGCTATTCCTTAACTTCTCAATGAAGGCTCTTCGATGGTATAGCCCCGTAAAAGTAAAAGATTGCGAGATCAAATATTTTTTAAAACAACAAATCGGTCCTAGACCCACCATGTTACATATCTATCTTCCTATCTCGTCGAGCTTAGTTAGTCGTAACAACCATACAGGTCCCAATAAAGGGCCAATCCTCACGAAATTCTGCATGGAGAATAGAATTTTTAGGGAAGTTAAAAATATCCAGATTTTCAGTCACTCAACAAGTCCCAATAATAGGCCAAAGGACGCGTTGCATTACAGTGTAGAACTAGCCCATTATTTTGGGCTTCATCGGATACAATTTACAATGGCTTTTGTTTAAAAATACCAATTCCATTCAATGGCGAATATTTTTAAGGCAGAGAATCACATCCCATGAAATCTGAAAAGAACACTTCTGGCCTGTACATTAATGGTGATTTCGTTGAGGTGTATAGTCAGATCTGCATGAAATTTTGCAGGTACTGCTTTGAATAGCAATTAGCACCACAGAGGGCGTAAATGTGGGGTAATTACAAAAAAATAAACATTTTGACATATTTTGAAGGAATTGACGAAAAATACAGAAGCATAAGATAAATTAACTTATATTTATTTTTATAACAAATAATTTTGAATGAGGAAACTACATTGCTTCCAATAGATGATTTTTCCAAATGCGGTGATATACAAATCTCGACTTTTTAAACTCGGTTCGAATGACTTTAACAATAGTTTATACAATCTTAACACGGTTTTGTTCAATAAACGTTTTTGGAACTAAGTACAATTGTAAAGCTGGATATACATTCATATTACATGGCACATTGTTTGCGTATTACGGCTTTAGAGCAAGTCACTTTTGATACTAAATAGAAATAACATATGTTGTTGCTACATCCTTGTCTTAGATGCATCAGATAACTTATACCAAAGATCATTGTTATGGAGTGTATGTAACGGTTGTGGCGGACGTAAATACCATATCAGATGAAACATATTAATGATATAGATAGTACTATATCTGAACCGATTTTCTCAAAATTTTACATACCTTCTTCTAGGCTGACTTCGGTAGTTTTACAAAATTTTTAACTATTACATATTTGTTGCACAAAATAATTGAAATTTAGAATTTATTTCAAGCAGATCATACCACCTTAAGAGCAGTTATAATTTTGTTTCAGAGGAACTAATATATGGGAAGCATATTCAATTCTGAATCGATTTTTACTAAATTTGACGGCGATATTTTAATCTTTTATACCAAATAACATAGCTATAGAGTGCGTGATATCAGTTTGAGAAGGATTTAGTCACGCTATCTCTAGTTTTTAAGGGGTATAAAACTTTCCGAAAGGATATATTTTAAACAAGTGAATGCATCATAATAGCCCCCGACGAATGGTACACAACAGGTTCAATTGTTTAGGAAGAAAATTGAAAAATATGACCAAAACTCTTGCAATACCTTAACCCAAAATGTGGACCAATATTAATATTTTTTGCCAGTAGAGTTTCTGCAAATAGCAAATTAAAATACCAAAATCTGGACACATTTCATAGAAAATATCGCTACAACCACAACTCACAAAGGTTGCTCAACTTCAAGAAATTAGAAAAATAATAGTCAAATATACTTTATATACAACGATTCGTATTGTTTATTTTACATGTTTTAATAAAATTCTTATATTGGGCAAAAATCACAAAACATGAGTGAAACGTTGGGGTTATTCCCTAAAATTATATCTGAAATTGTAAGACAATACTGTTTTATCCTAAAAATGTACAATTTGTTGCCCATCAACGTCGAGAATATGCATTTCTACTGCAACTGTATTTTGATTTTTAAATTAATTTAATTTTTTATTCAAAACCAGTAAAGAAAGTCTTCAAGTCGGGCGGGGCCGACTTTATGATACCCTACACCACTTTGCTAATTAAGTAGAGCTCCACATAACAATTAAAAGTTTTTATGGGAGAATTCAATCATACACACTGTGATTATGATTATAATTTAAGGTTGAAAGAACTAAATATGCCGAAGCATTTGTATCTTTTAAATTCGGAATTGTATTGTCCATGTGGTGCACAATTAATTTGAAATCGGATAAAGATATATATATGGGAGCTATATCCAAATCTGAACCGATCTCGATAAAATTTGGCAAAGATATTTCTGAGCTGTATTTGATATATTTCCCTGAATATCGTTGTTACGGAGTTCATATTACGGTTGTGGGTAACAAATATAACAAATCGGATGAATAATATATATGGAAGCTATAGCTATATCTGAACCGATCTTCACCAAATTTGACATACTAGCTTCTAGACTCAATTCGGTCGTAAGTGCCAAATTCCATCCTATTTGGACAAATATTAGACGTTTGGTGCACAATAAATGGTAAATCGGACGAAGTTATATATGGGAGCTATATCCAAATCTGAACCGATCTCGATAAAATTTAGCAAAGGTATTTCTGAGCTGCATTTGATATATTTCCCCAAATATTGTTGTTACAGAGTGCATATTACGGCTGCGGAGGACAAAAATAACAAATCGGATGAACAATATATATTGGAGCTGTAGCTATATCTGAACCGATTTCGATCAAATTTGGCACACATATTTTCAGGCCCAATTTGGGTGTATATGCAAAATTCCATACAATTCGGGCTGATATTACACGTTTGGTGCACAATAAAAGGCAAATCGGACGAAGATATATATGGGAGCTATATCTAAATTTTAACCGATTATCTCCAATTTCAATAGGGTTCGTCCTTGGGCCAAACAAAAGATCTTTGCAAAATTTCATCTGGATCGGGCAATAAATGCGACCTGTACTTTGTTTACAAAAATACATGGACAGACGGACGGACGGACAGACGGACGGACGGACATGCATAAATCGACTCAGAATGTGATTCTATGCAGATCATCAAAAGGAACTATGGGTCTATCTCGTTTCCTTTTGCCTGTTACAAACAAATGCACAAAGACATAATACCCTGACCACCTTGTGGTGTAGGGTATAACAATACATACACATATACAAAATGTGTATATGTTTTGACAGAATAGGGAAGACCTGTAAGGAAAAGTCAAAAGTTGGGTGGACCGAATATATGATACCCTGCAACACTATGCATTTTTAGTAGTTCTCCCGTAACAAAAGAATTTATTTGATATTACGTTTTACAAAGTTTAGACTCCCTGGGGGGGCGGATATGATTAGATCGACTTCAAATATCCTAAAACGGATTGAGTTCAAGGAGAACGAGGATCTTACAATGATATGTCCACGTACACAAGACTTGTGTTATAGCAAGGCGATAAAGGTATGACCGGTTTTCATTAATCTCCACCAGATTTTAAATAAACGTTGTAAGCAATACTCCAAAAAATACATAAAATTGGGCGGAACAGTTCTATCTGGCTATACGAAAGAAAATGTAAAACAATTTCCATCTTTTTATACCCTACACCACATAGTGGTAAGGGTATTATGTCTTTGTGCATTTGTTTGTAACATGGAGAAGGAAACGAGATAGACCCATAGTTACTTTTGAGAACCTTCATAGAATCACTTTCTGAGTCGATTTATGCATGTCAGTCCGTCTGTCCGTCCGTCCGTCCGTCTGTCCATGTATTCTTGTGAACAAAATGCAGGTCGCATTTATTATCCGATTGAGATGAAATTTTGCACATGTCATTTGTTTGTCCCAAGGACGAACCCTATTGAAATTGGAAATAATCGGTCAAATTTTAAATATAGCTCCCATATATATCTTCGTCCGATTTGCTTTTATTGTGCACCAAACGTGTAATATCAGCCCGAATAGCATGGAATTTTGCACATACAACCAAATTATAAATAAGTGTGCCAAATTTGATCGAAATCGGTTCAGATATAGCTATAGCTCCCATATATATTGTTCATCCGATTTGTTGTATTTGTTACCCACAGCCGTAATATGCACTCCGTAACAAGTATATTCAGGGAAATAAATCAAATACAGCTCAGAAATATCTTTACTAAATTTTATCGAGATCGGTTCAGATTTGGATATATCTTTCATATATATCTTTATCTGATTTCAAATTAATTTTGCACCAAATGGGCAATACAAGTCCGAATTTAAAAGATACAAATGCTTCGTCATATTTATTACTTTGAATTTTAAATTATAATTATAATCGTAGCGTGTATGATTGAATTCTTCCATAAAAAGCTTTTAATTGTTATGCGCAGCTCTACTAAATGTAGGGTATCATAAAATCGGCCCCGCCCGACTTTAGGACTTTCTTTACTGGTTTAGATTTATTTCTTTATTACTGTGTTTGTATCACATTGCAATCTCTGTAGTAGAATCTTTTTAATATAAGTTCACGTTTTGGTATTGTGCTCATATGTCGGTTTCACCCATTTTTGGTGTTTTCAAATCCGATCCCACAAGTATTTCAGTGTAAGAGGGACGTTCGAAAATTGAAGTAATGTTTTACCTCATGGGAAGGGGTATTTGAAGTTCGGTCCAGCCGAAATTAACGTTTTCGAAATGTTAATTTGTATTGTTATCATTTTGTTAAACTTCGCATTTTTTAATAGCGTCAATCCAAAATTTTCTGCGCCTCTCGTCTTTATATTCTGTTGCCGCCTATTTCTTAAAAGAAACGTTTTTCCT